CCTGTTTCATTGACCAATCAGATTGCTCAAAAATAAAATATAAAATTTGATTGGTCAATGAAACAGGAAGTTAGGAACTTTTTAACGAACTTATCAAATTGTTGAGGAATTGTTCAGAGGAACTCCTCGAAGTTAGGAAATGAACTGATCAACATTTTTCGGAACACTTCTATTGGCACGACTGTAAAGCCCACTATTTGTTGTATATTAGTTTCTCATCCGGAGCTTCTCCTAAAGTGGATGCGGGCTGGCGGGCCAATACCATTATGCCATTATTTGCTGGATTTCCCCTCCCCATAAAATTTATTTTCGAAAAGTGCGCATTAAGCATTTATATAGCAACTTTCTGAAAAACAGCACAAAATCAGTAAGTGCAACTGAAAGCATGTTTTCATAATTTTGCCCCAGAACGTCTGGCGTTTTTCTCCCCTGCCCTTGGCTTCCGGTATAACTTTTATAGCTGTGTTTGGATATTTAATAAGTGCATGGGTACCTAATGCGGGAAAAACTTGCAGTTTGGTTATGAAATTTTGTATTTTAACAAACATTTGGTTTGGGAACGTTTCTAATTGTCTTTCTTTCAAATTTCACTTTGAAGACATCACAAAATTTATAATACTGGTCAAAAATGGCAATAGTAATGGCGAACAAGGCCATTTTCTTAAAAAAGCATGCGGGCGGGGATGAGAAACTAATATACAGCAAATAGTGGCCTAAAGACAATTCGTGTTATATTAGCAATCGTATGAATTTAATACAATCGTATGAATTTAATGGGTTTTATGTTTGGGAAGAGTTCTGCTGAAGCCAGTTTGAAGTTGCACTTGTTGCGGCTTGAAATGCAGCCGTTGTATCAAGACGTGAAAATCTGTGATTTGGCGTTGTAAACAAAGCGAGGACAATGACAATGTCTAAATTATTCATATATTGCAATTATTGAATTCTTTTTAATTATTTATTGTATTTGTAGCCGTTGCTGTCCTAAATCGTAAGGTGTCTATTTAAAAATCGGGGAACCATGCAAGGTAAGCATGGTTAAAAAATTTTCGAGTATGCGGACGTATGCATGCACATGCATGGTTTACGCTACTCATACGTTTCTCTCATACGCAATAGTGTGACAGGACCTTAACCGAGATCAGCATGTAATTGCAGTTCTTAAAAAACATGAAAATATTAAACATGTATAACTAATATTTGTTTCATTTTATAGTGGCAAAATAAATCTGCACTATGTCTATGATGACAAAAAAGTGCTCCTTCAAGGCATTCGTATAAATTGGCACACATATATCCTTTCGCGCACTTTTCTTATACATTTTTGTTTATATATACCATGCATGTAGTATTTAATGATACCCATAAACGTTAAATTTCAAGCATATATAATTGCTGGCATATTTATAACTTACTCTCTATCCAAAAAACAGCCATATTTGAAACAGTAAACAGTTTTGTATGTTCACTCAGTCTAACGCGAAAAATTTAAGTAAATACAAAAAGAAATTATAGCTTTTAATAAGAGGAATTACCGAAAATTGACTATTTCATGACGCGCTTGTCAGGCGAAAAACACACTGCCCAAAGATTTTATTATTTATTCTAGTAGATGTGTCATAACACTCAGTAGCTGCAATACATTGGATACCTGATACCGTTGCACTTTTGAGAAAAAATAATTTACCGCCAGCATACTAACACGAATATTTAATCCGCTGTCTGAAAGACGCTTTTAAAAATACACAATATTTTGTTCGCTTCAAGTGATCAGGATAATTTTTAGTTTAGGTTTATGCCTAGGCAGGAAATAACAAAATATGTAAGTTTCAAGAAGTTAGAATAAAAGCGCGAGATTAACTGTGAGATATTAAAAAGCCCAAATATCACTTGCGTAATTAACGTTTTTTAAAACTTCTTTCGAACGCGTCCGAAAATAATTGCGAAAACATTTTTAAAACTGACTACAATTTCAAAGTCAACGTTTTTTGTTCATTTTATGAATGACTTCTTCCACACAGAAAGTTTGAAGGAAATCTGTAATCTTAAGAAATTCGAGTGGTCGGTTTTTACACCGACTGCCTCTTAATTGCTTTTCTCTTATTGCCAGTGCTCGTTCATCATAGACCTTAGTCTGGTCGAGTTCAACTTTACCAGGATACACTGCACCAAGGTTAGTTTAAGAATGTGCAACATCAACATGGTCTGGACTTAATTGCTTTTCTATTATTGCCAGTGCTCGTTCATGATTGTCTTTAGCCTAATGGAGTTCACCTTTAGCATGATACACTGGACCAAAGTTATTATACGAATGTGCAACATCAACATGGTCTGGACTTAATTGCTTTTCTCTTATTGCCAGTGCTCGTTCATGATTGTCTTTAGCCTGGTCGAGTTCATCTTTAGCATGATAGACTGCACCAAGGTTATTATATGAACGTGCAACATCAACATGGTCTGAAGGTAACTGTTTTTCTCTTACTGCAACTGCTCGTTCATGATAGTCTTTAGCCTGGTCGAGTTCGCCTTTAGCATGATACACTGCACCAAGGTTATTATAAGAATGTGCAACATCAACATGGTCTGGACTTAATTGCTTTTCTCTTATTGCCAGTGCTCGTTCAAGATAGTCTTTAGCGTGGTCGAGTTCACCTTTATCATGATGCACTGCACCAAAGTTGTTATAAGAGTTTCCAACATCAACATGGTCTGGACTTAATTGCTTTTCTCTTATTGCCAGTGCCCGCTCTGAAGACAGTCTTTGGCCTGGTTGAGTTCACCTTTATCACGATACAGTACACCAAGGTTGTTATAAGAATTTCGAACATCACCATGGTCTGGACTTAATTGCTTTTCTCTTATTGCCAGTGCTCGTTCAAGATAATCTTTAGCCTGGTCGAGTTGACCTTTATCATGATACACTGCACCAAGGTTGTTATAAGAGTTTCCGACATCAAAATGGTCTGGACTTAATTGCTTTTCTGTTATTGCCAGTGCTCGTTCATGATTGTCTTTAGCCTGGTCGCGTTCATCTTTAGCATGATAGACTGCATCAAGGTTATTATATGAACGTGCAACATCAACATGGTCTGAAGGTAACTGTTTTTCTCTTACTGCAAGTGCTCGTTCATGATAGTCTTTAGCCTGGTCGAGTTCGCCTTTAGCATGATACACTGCACCAAGGTTATTATAAGAATGTGCAACATCAACATGGTCTGGACTTAATTGCTTTTCTCTTATTGCCAGTGCTCGTTCAAGACAGTCTTTAGCGTGGTCGAGTTCACCTTTATCATGATGCACTGCACCAAAGTTGTTATAAGTGTTTCCAACACCAACATGGTCTGGACTTAATTGCTTTTCTCTTATTGCCAGTGCTCGTTCATGATAGTCTTTAGCCTGGTCGAGTTCACCTTTAGCATGATACACTTCGCCAAGTTTATTATACGAATGTGCAACATCAACATGGTCTGAACTTAATTGCTTTTCTCTTATTGCCAGTGCTCGTTCATGATAGTCTTTAGCCTGGTCGAGTTCACCTTTATTAAGTTACAATGCACCAAGGTTGGTTTAACAGTTTCCAGCATCAACATGGTCTGGAATTAATTGTTTTTCTCGTATTACCCGTGCTCGTTCATGATAGTCTTTAGCCTGGTCGTGTTCACCTATTGCACGATACACTTCGCCAAGGTTATTATAAGAACGTGCAACATCAACATGGTATGGACTTAATTGCTTTTCTCTTATTGCCAGTGCCCGTTGAAGATAGTCTTTGACCTGGTTGAGTTCCCCTTTATCATGATACAGTACACCAAGGTTGTTATAAGAATTTGCAACATCAACATGGTCCGGACTTAATTGCTTTTCTCTTATTGCCAGTGCTCGTTCATGATAGTCTTTAGCCTGGTCGAGTTCACCTTTAACATGATACACCGCACCAAGGTTGTTATAAGAACGTGCAACATCAACAAGGTCTGGACTTAATTTCTTTTGTCTTATTGCCAGTGCTCGTTCATGATAATCTTTAGCCTGGTCGAGTTCACCTTTATCATGATGCACTGCACCAAGGTTGTTATAAGAGTTTCCAACATCAACATGGTCTGGACTTAATTGTTTTTCTCTTATTGCCAGTGCTCGTTCATGATAGTCTTTAGCCTGGTCGAGTTCACCTTTAGCACGATACACTTCGCCAAGGTTATTATATGAATGTGCAACATCAACATGGTCTGAACTTAATTGCTTTTCTCTTATTGCCACTGCTCGGTTATGATAGTCTTTAGCCTGGTCTAGTTCACCTTTATTAAGATACACTGCACCAAGGTTGTTATAAGAGTTTCCAACATCAACATGGTCTGGACTTAATTGCTTTTCTCTTATTGCCAGTGCTCGTTCATGATAGTCTTTAGCCTGGTCGAGTTCACCTTTAGCACGATACACTTCGCCAAGGTTATTATATGAATGTGCAACATCAACATGGTCTGAACTTAATTGCTTTTCTCTTATTGCCACTGCTCGGTTATGATAGTCTTTAGCCTGGTCTAGTTCACCTTTATTAAGATACACTGCACCAAGGTTGTTATAAGAGTTTCCAACATCAACATGGTCTGGACTTAATTGCTTTTCTCTTATTGCCAGTGCTCGTTCATGATAGTCTTTAGCCTGGTCGAGTTCACCTTTAGCACGATACACTTCGCCAAGGTTATTATAAGAACGTGCAACATCAACATGGTCTGGACTTAATTGCTTTTCTTTTATCGCCAGTGCTCGTTGAAGATAGTTTTTGGCCTGGTTGAGTTCACCTTTATCATGATACACTGCACCAAGGTTGTTATAAGAATTTCCAACATCAACATGGTCTGGACTTAATTGCTTTTCTCTTATTGCCAATGCTCGTTCATGATAGTCTTTAGCCTGGTCGAGTTCACCTTTAGCATGATACACGGCACCAATGTTGTTATAAGAACGTGCAACATCAACATGGTCTGGACTTAATTTCTTTTGTCTTATTGCCAGTGCTCGTTCATGATAGTCTTTAGCCTGGTCGAGTTTACCTTTATCATGATACACTGCACCAAGGTTGTTATAAGAGTTTCCAACATCAACATGGTCTGGACTTAATTGCTTTTCTCTTATTGCCAGTGCCCGTTCGTGATAGTCTTTAGCCTGTTCGAGTTCACCTTTAGCACGATACACTTCGCCAAGGTTATTATAAGAATGTGCAACATCAACATGGTCTGGACTTAATTGCTTTTCTCTTATTACCAGTGCTCGTTCAAGATAATCTTTAGCCTGGTCGAGTTGACCTTTATCATGATACACTGCACCAAGGTTGTTATAAGAGTTTCCGACATCAAAATGGTCTGGACTTAATTGCTTTTCTGTTATTGCCAGTGCTCGTTCATGATAGTCTTTTGCCTGGTCGAGTTCACCTTTAGCACGATACACTTGGCCAAGATTATTATAAGAATGTGCAACATCAACATGGTCTGGACTTAATTGCTTTTCTCTTATTGCCAGTGCTCGTTCATGGTAGGCTTTAGCCTGGCCGAGTTCACCTTTATCATGATACACTGCACCCAGGTTGTGATAAGAGTTTGCAACATCAACATGGTCTGAACTTAGTTGCTTTTTTCTTATTGTCAGTGCTCGTTCATGATAGTTTTTAGCCTGGTCGAGTTCACCTTTATCATGATACACTGCGCCAAGGTTATTATATGTATGTGCAACATCAACATGGTCTGAACTTAATTGCTTTTCTCTTATTGCCAGTGCTCGTTCATGATAGTCTTTAGCCTGGTCGAGTTCACCTTTATCATGATACACTCCACCAAGGTTATTATAAGTATGTGCAACATCAACATGGTCTGAACTTAATTGCTTCTCTCTTATTGCCAGTGCTCGTTCATGATAGTCTTTTGCCTGGTCGAGTTCACCGTTAGCGTGATACACTGCACCCAGGTTGTTATAAGAGTTTGCAACATCAACATTGTCTGGACTTAATTGCTTTTCTCTTATTGCCAGTGCTCGTTCATGATAGTCTTTAGCCTGGTTGAGTTCACCTTTAGCATGATACACTACACCAAGGTTATTATAAGAACGTGCAAACTCAAGATGGTCTGGACTTATTTGCTTTTCTGTTATTGCCAGTGCTTGTTGATGATAATCCTTGGCCTTGTCGAAATCGCCCATTGTTTGGTATAATATGCCAAGATCGTTAAGAATATAATACGCGTAATTTTTCGTATCGGTTCCTCTGGACATCTGGAGATTCATGTTATGAAATTCAACAGCACTTTTAAACGCACAGAAGTGACGTAATGTTTTCCCAAAAAACAAATATATTTCGCAAATTTCTCCCTTTTCAAAAGCTAATGTATTTGAATGTAATAAAGTCTGTTCGGGAACACGTTTTGTAACTGCTGAATGAAATGCCTTCAAATGTGGGATCATCTTGACTTGATCATCCCTGACTTTGAAGCAATAAAGTGCTTTTGCAACGTTTTGAACTCTACTTGCAATTTTCGCCGTTTTGTTAGCAATGCCACTCTGAGAATAGTCGAACTTAGTCTCTGTTTCTTTGGAATTACTCAATGATTTGGTTACGTCGTGGACAACACGATGCAAACGAACTTCACAATCTTCAATTTCAGTAAGAAGAAAAAGTGAACAATCTTTCACTTCCAAATAAATTTCTTCTTTATCACAGTTTTGATCAAGGTGTTGGATGTATTTGGTGATAATATCAAGTGGTAATGGTTCAAAAGAGATCAGAGAAAAAAGATCGAATGTGTGATGTAAAATCAAACTATTTTCTGCAGATTTTTCAACAGCTAGGAACACAGCTGCAGACATGGTGGATTGATAAGCTGAACTGGTTTTGAGGAGTTGTTTTTCTGTGACTTTTCTTTTACATTTTAACTTTTCTAGGTAATCTTGCCACGAAAACTTTGGACAGCATTTTTTCTCGTTGACTTTCTTGAAGTATACAGCTGCAGCAGCTATAGCCAAAGGTTGGTTATCTAATTTCTCAGCAACTTTATCTAACAATCGTTCATTAACATCAGTCCCTGATAATAAGAACAGTAACTGACGACATTCTTGGATTTTCATACCACAACTGACTGAAATATGTTTAGTGAACGGGCTGTCGGAAGGGACTGCAGTTCTATTCTGAATTGTTAATATAATTTGACCATTACTCCAAACTTCATTGCCCATCTGTGGTAGTCCGGGTGAAATGATGTTAAGATTTTCCACATTGTCTACAATAATCCACCACCTCTTCCAGTTCTTGATTCTGCTTTCAATCAGTGATCTTAGATCTTTGATTTTTTGATATTCTGGTCTGCATGAATTCATTACATTTACCAGTACACTCTCAGAACAATTTAGACGTCGACAAAAATCTTGATACGATTGGAGAATAGTGTATAAATCTTTTGCATTCAATGTCATTACAAATGTTGCCTGTGTTTCCCAATTTACGCCTTTGAACAAATCCTCGGTCAGCTGCCGGGATAGCTCTGATTTACCACTTCCGGGATTTCCTGAAATATAGAGATATGTAAGTTTCCTTCCGCTACTAATGCGCAATGTCTCGAGTTCCTGTTTCATTTCGTTGATTTCCTCAGAACGGTAAACAACTTGGTGGATTGGCTTTGAAGGTAAAACTTGAAATGATTTGTAAAGGTTTCTCTTAATTTTAATTTGTGCGATATCATGAATTGGAAGACCTAGGGCTTTAAATGCATTTTCAACATCACTGATCATGGTTTGGAAGTCAGTATCAGATAGGATTGTTTCATCAGCATGCATAATTTTATTTCTCATGTTTCGAATATTGTCAACTGCAGTCTTAATTATTGGATTCAAACTTGATTTACCAACAGAGTTGGAGTACAAAATTGCGTCAAAAAGCACGGAACAATCCCATTGATTTGTATCTCCATGTTGAAATTTTGCCTGGTGCACGTTCTTGTTTGGTCTTGAGCGTGTATTTTCGAGAGAAAACAACTGCACACCACTTGCACTGGTGTCATCCCATGCTCCGAACCTTGCCTGGAAACGAGTGTTCCATTCGTTTTTAAAAACTTTCCTCAATCCTTCACTTACAACATCAGTGATAATATGTCGCATACAAATGTAATTTCGTTTCTCTTCGCTTTCCCATGGTACATCAGACATATTTGAAGCTAAAATTTTAAAAAATGTCTGTTTAATATTCAATAATAACATATCAACCGTTGTCAAAGGGAAGATAAATCAAATTTTCTCACTTTATAAATCAACTTTTCTCATGAGAATATCCGAGAGTAATATTTTAATGGGAACAAACGTGAGGAGGGTTTAGATATGGTATGAAGTCAAGCTAATGCCGATTTACAGTAATTGCTCATACACTGTAATAATCAGGGGCCGGTTGTATCAAAGGCGTTTAACTTAAACGGTGTTTAGCCGCTATCCAGCGTATAAATTTCTTATCCAGCGGATAGTTAAACGGCCGATAAAATTGCGTTGTACGAAG